TGGTTAAATACTAGAAACGCATAGACATGCACCATCGTGCGGGTGTACCATCATTACAGACATAATAGACACATGTAGAAACACTGGAACTTGCAGTTTTGCATGGTGTTAAGTACTAGAAAAATCAACGATATATCCCAAATTTTGATTGTTCATAACTCGTGTCATACCCACCGTTTTTTAAAGTTTTTTTTTTCCAATGGTCAAATCCTTTCATCCAATTTCCCGTGTTTGAGTCCCAATTTTGATGGTCAAAACCTGGTGAAAGCAACATTTTCTTCGTTAAATCCTTGGTTGTGTGTGTAATATTGTAATGCTGCCACAGCCTGGGCCCACGAGGTGTGGGTGGCTGGAGGCACCAGCCTGTACACAAGTCCCAATGAGGGTGGAACTCACTTTCCAGCGTGACTGAAGCCACATAGAGAGATAGCTCGAAAATGGGCGAGCCCACGAGACATGTAGAAGAACGTCGCGTCACACTCAGGCATCAGCCTTGCTAAAGGTCCTCACACTCCCCGCTAGGCAAATCCACCAGTGCAGCAGTCAGGCAGCACGCCACTTACACGCACATGCAGCATCAAAACTGTGTAGATAGACGAGCCTTTGATCTACGCCCCGCGCCGCAAAAACAGCCGCAGCAAAACTGTTCCTGGTCCCAAGCAGACTTAGTTGGAGATGCCAAGCTGCCATCAACCCAGCCCAAGACCTTCACAGGACCCCGCCTTTTCCAAGCAGTGCCATAGGGGTTCACCAGACAGGGTTCACCAGACAGAGTTCACCGGATAGGGGTTCGCCTGTAACGGCCGGGGGAAAGCTACCCAAGCAGCAACCCGGGACCACGCCAGGCACGGCCCCGGGTTGCTGCTTGGGTAGCTGCGCCCCCCTCTCAGGGTCCCCAGAAGTCTCACCACCAACGTTTCGGCCGTGAGGCCGCGGTGGCCGCCATGGTGAGGCCTACCTCGGAAGCCGCAAAGGCGTGAGTGCTGTGATTTCAGTCTTGGATTTGTCATGACAATAATCATTCTTATTATGAATACTTAATCATTATATAGTATAATCATGTATAATCAATAAGCACTATAAATGACTATAAACCAATATGATAATAACCACTATGAACAATGATAATCATTGTTATGATCTATAGTGGTTTATTGGATTTATAGTGATGAATTTATGGTGAATCATTATTTGCTATGATGGTTATTTGATACTCCATTCATGATTTACCATACTTGTAGCAATAAAAAATTGGGTATTGGATAAATCATGCCCTAGGGCATTATTGGATCTACCGCTTCATAATGGTTGCTAATGATTTAATGATTAGCGACTTTCTGATTGTGCATGCCTTTTTTGAATTGTTTGAATTGTTGGGATGGTTTTCATTTAACGTGAGTATACATACATATATGTTCATTCAACGTGAGTATATATATATACATAGTATATATATATAATACAATATATATATGCAGTGTGATTATATAGATGTATCTATAGTTGGATGGGCGTATGCTATCACTCATCCATGATCACGGTTTGGGATGATGTGGTAGACCGCCATTTGCACCATCCCCAAGTGGGGTTTATGGCATTGGGTATGCCCAAAAGGAAATTGGAATGTAACATGATACCCAAAAGGTTGGCTCATGGGGTGGTTTACTTTTGCTTTTCTGTAACTTTTTGGGGGTTGCGAATATACATATTTATATACATATATATATATATACACATACTTATTTATAAACGATATCTTACCATGAGTATGATCATTATGTACCAGTGGCAAGAAATATGTATCCCATCCCCCCATATTAAACACACCCATTCAATCGTCCCAAATATGTGATGTCATCCCCCACGATTTACCATGGCTTCTGGCGGTGTTTAACATGAATGGGGGAAAGGGAAAAAATGTGTATATACGAGTAGTGCCCGGCACAGTTTCAAAAAAGGGACATGTGACATGTCTATAGGAATAGGTCTGCTTATAGGAATTGTTTGTGAGCTGGAAAGGGATGAGATGAAGCTTGCAACGAAGGAAAGACGCGACGAAATGAAATGGAGGAAACAGCGGCCTTACTTTGGCCACCATGGAAGCCACTTTACCCGAAAAAAACGCAGGGTTTCGTGCCGAGAGATCCCGAGAGTGTTTTCATCCGTGACTTCACACGCGATGACATGATGATGACAAGACTGCCCCTGGACATTCGCTATTCCGCATGCCACAAGAGTAGCACTATCGTCTACAACTACCTTTCGCGCAGCTATTACAATGCGTTTAGCAACCTCCAGCTGCAATCCCGCGTGCAAGGAGCATGGAAGCATGGTCACAGCCGGTTGCAGACCCGCATAGCAGGAGCGTCGCACCAAACCGACCAACATTCGCCAGTACGGGCTCGACCACACAAATCCGGAGCTGCTCCAAGACCTTCAGAGTTTTTAATGATTCTTATGTGAAAGGGAGCTCTCGCCATAGTTTGGTGCACATTTTGCCAACCTCAGCATCTTTCAAAAAGTGCTCCGGCGTCGTCCGTGTTTTAACATGCTGAAGTGCAAATCGCACTCTCGCCACAGCCCTGTGCACGTTTTACCGGCCTCATCTTCCGAAAGTAACCTTTTGAAATTTCGAACAGGAAACCAAGCTCTCGCTTCCGTCCTGTGCACTTTTGTCGACAACTCTCTCAAATCGAGGTCCGCAACCCTGGAAACAGCGACCCTAATGACCCTACTTCGGCGACCACGGAAGCCACTTTACCTGAAAAAATGCAGGGCTTCGCGCCCCGGAGTGTTTTCACCCGCGAATTCACACGCATTGGAGCTGTCACTCTTCCCAACTCCTTGATGACGGGTGGTTGACATGATGATGTGGTTGACATGATGAGACACGAACATGATGACAAGATGGGATAGAATGATGATAATGGGATTTTGTATAATTATGAAGTGGTCGGGTGGGAGTGATTCGGAGCAGTTGGGGTATTCATATTCCCTACAAACATAGGGAGCCAGTTGGAGCTAGGCATTGGGTTCCCAACCACAAGATAGATAATCTTCAGGGGATTTAGCTTTCAAGATGTGGGAATAGCATCGGGTAGAGTGGGTCATAATTTCATCGGATATTTGTTGGGATGTACTGTTATTAATGGGATGTGATGGATGATTAATGGAACTATAAAGGATTTAACCACCGAACCATCAACCATTTAAACTATTGTAGTTTTTATATTGGGTTTCGTTAGGGGTTAACCAACATGTGATGGGAATCTAATGAGGTAAGTCTTGGGATATGGGACATACATATTAGATCATATTAGCAACCTGCCCTCCAGCTATCCATACTGTTTCCATACAGTGATCATTTACCATCATATACCTATACCGAAAAATGCATTTATTAGCCCAGTATACGTGCATACATGCATACATACATACATACATACCTACATCCCTACCTACCTGCCTGCCTGCCTACCTACCTACCTACGTACGTACGTACTTACGTGCGTGCATATTTATAATATATATATATATACATATATATATATTTACATTTAGTATGCACGCACCATATACTTGTAGCATCTTTCTAGTCTGGAAAAATAGGTGACTTGATCAAACTATGGGAATATAATGGAACCGAATGGGAATATAATCGGACTGGTGAACTTTGCTTCTAGTAGTCTAACAAGTTGCCATGGAACATTGCCTGTGAAAGCAATTGATGTACCAACCTTCGAACTGGTAGTTCTTCATAACAAACTATTAGATTACGGGAGGGTATTTGTTTTGTGTTATATGACCATTTATCCAGCAGTATCTGCACCAACACATGGATCTATTTATTTGCAGGGTATATATCCTATATAGAATGTCTTGTTTCTTCATGGTGTAAGCACGCACCTTACAGGATGGGGCCCCCAAGATAGCTAAGTTGAGATACAAGTGGCTTAACTATGGTTTTTGGTATGTATAACTATAGTTAATGGGGCTCGTAAACCAACTTTTAACTGGGGCACCATCCGGTAAGTATCATGGGCATTTTGACAGCAATTTGCAATAAGTGAATTGGCAACTGGGAAAAAATAGAACAGATGGAAAGCCGGAGGCTACTGGGAAAACATTATCGGTTTCACATCCTGGAAAACTTCTCTATCATTTACTTCGCTATGAAACATTATCCAGCAACATATTTTTGGGGTATGTCATATATGCTCTGGATGATTACACTCAAAGTGATCAACTTGATATCTGAGGGACCTCCCAACCTATCATAATGTTTATGTTGTTTAACTCCTGGTTTTTGCTGGTGAAATCCCAAGTTTCTTGCGCCGAACTCGCTCTCAGGCTGGAGGTAGCATCCCATGGCCGCTCCGCCCTGCGCAGACACGGGCTCCGGCAGAGCCGCAGCAGCGTCAATGGGAAAATCATCGAACGAACTGGGGGAGTTTCCAGCTACTGATGTTTCAGTAGCAGAGGATATACAATATCATATTTGTACCACCTATTTTTGGTGTTTTGGGGATGGTTTATTATTGTTTTACCCACATTACATCAATATACATACATGTGTCATATCATTTGCAATCATTTATGTGATTACATGCGAAGCAATGCGAAGCCCGGCGCAACAACGGTTTGGCGGGCAATTGATTTGTATGTGCGGATGTAAAGAACGGACATGACAAGTAAAATAATGATGAATAAATGAATGAATCAATGAATGAATGGATGTGTATACCTACCTGCATACACGGATGGAGAAACACATATGAGCAGGAAAGGGCTGGAAGATACCACTTCGGCCTTCAGGCGGCCGCGCCAAGGATCGCCGTTTGTTTCGTGAGACCTTCGAGGCGTTCCGGTCGAAAGATGCTACGGGCCTGAGTGCAGAAGGCTCGACATTGGGTACAGGGGCCCACATTTTATTTTGGTCCTTTTTGGAATTCATAAATAGTTGTGGGCTATCGCCATTTTTTTTGGTAATGAGACATCCGCATTTTTTTGGTGTAATTAGACATCCAAACTTGTGTTGTTTTTGGCTTTTGCAGGGAAATAAAACCATGTGACATGCAGCAACAACATAAAACAGGGGAGAAGCATCAAAAAAAAATAAAAATGCATCAAAAAAAATATAAATGCATCAAAAAATATAAATGCATCAAAAAAAAATAAATGACCATGAAGAAAGGAGGGAAGGAGGAAAGGAGGGAAGGAAGGAAGGAGGGAAGGATGCAAGGGGGGAACGAAGGGAAGGAAGGAAGGAAGGAAGGAAGGAAGGAAGGACCATGTGTGCAGTCAACACTTGCAGCTTGCATCCACCACGGGCAGCGTGCAAAGTGCTGCTGAGCTGCTAGAGCTGAGGGGTTTCCAAAACTATTTTCTGGCCTTGTTCGGGCCTCGTTTTGGCATCGTTTTTGGCCTCGTTCGGAACCCGTTGCAGAAATACTGAGTTGAGATGCAAGTCAGAGCCACATAGATTTGTGACCAAAACATACCAAAACATACATGAACCATGCGCTCACATTTTGTTTTAAACCAAAAGACGACTTTTCTTAGATGTACTTGTTTTAACCGGCTCCCCTTGCTACCTACTCTGATTCCTTTTTCATAAGCATCATCGGTTATTTGCGTTCATTTCATCTTCATTGATCTCCATCGCGACTTGTGCCTATGTACTTCTTTCATGTTCTTTCTTGGTACGCATTGCAGGGGACCCACCCACCCGCTTTTATTTTTTCATCGGCTTCCCTTGCTACCTACTCTCTTGCCTTTTGCTCATAAGCATCGTTTCTTAGGGTTCTTCTTTCAAAATATCCATCGAGACTTGTGCCTATGTGCTTCTTTCTTGATCCTCCCGTTCTTACTTGCAATATATCCATTGAGACTTGTGCCTATGTGCTTCTCTCTTGGTACGCATTGCGGGGGGAGGCGCTGCGCCCTCCCCCCTGCACCCCCCCACCCGCTTTCATTTTTTAATCGGCTTCCCTTGCTACCTACTACCCTTTCCTTTTTGCATAAGCATCATCGTTTATTTGGGTTCATTTCATCTTTGTGATATCCATCGAGACTTGTGCCTATGTGCTTCTTTCTTGATCTTCTCGTTCTTACTTGCAATATATCCATTGAGACTTGTGCCTATGTGCTTCTCTCTTGGTACGCATTGCGGGGGGAGGCGCTGCGCCCTCCCCCCTGCACCCCCCCACCCGCTTTTATTTTTAAACCGGTTCGCTGCATAAGCATCATCGTTTATTTGGGTTAATTTCATCTTTGCTGATATCCATCGAGACTTTGTGCCTATTTCTTCTTTCTTGATCTTCTCGTTCCTTACTTGCAATATATCCATTGAGACTTTGTGCCTAGTGCTTCTCTCTTGGTACGCATTGCGGGGGAGGCGCTGCGCCCTCCCCCCTGCACCCCCCACCCGCTTTTATTTTTAAACCGGTTCGCCTTGCTAATTCCTTTATAAGCATCATCGTTTATTTGGGTTAATTTCATCTTTGATATCCATCGAGACTTGTGCCTATGTGCTTCTTTCTTGATCTTTTCGTTCTTACTTGCAATATATCCATTGAGACTTGTGCCTATGTGCTTCTCTCTTGGTACGCATTGCACCCCCCACCCGCTTTTATTTTTAAACCGGTTCCCCTTGCTACCTACTATTCCTTTCTTTTTGCATAAGCATCATCGTTTATTTGGGTTAATTTCATCTTTGTTGATATTCATCGAGACTTGTGCCTATGTGCTTCTTTTGATCTTCTTGTTCTTAACTTTGCAATATATCCATTGAGACTTTCCTTTTGCGCTCTCCTTGGTAACGCATTGCGGCGGGGAGGCGCTGCGCCCTCCCCCTGCACCCCCCCACCCCCGCTTTTATTTTTAAACCGGTTCCCCTTGCTACCTACTAATCCTTTCTTTTTGCATAAGCATCATCGTTTATTTGGGTTAATTTCATCTTTGTTGATATCCATCGAGACTTGTGCCTATGTGCTTCTTTCTTGATCTTCTTGTTCTTACTTGCAATATATCCATTGAGACTTGTGCCTATGTGCTTCTCTCTTGGTACGCATTGCGGGGGGAGGCGCTGCGCCCTCCCCCCTGCACCCCCCCACCCGCTTTTATTTTTAAACCGGTTCCCCTTGCTACCTACTATTCCTTTCTTTTTGCATAAGCATCATCGTTTATTTGGGTTAATTTCATCTTTGTTGATATCCATCGAGACTTGTGCCTATGTGCTTCTTTCTTGATCTTCTCGTTCTTACTTGCAATATATCCATTGAGACTTGTGCCTATGTGCTTCTCTCTTGGTACGCATTGCGGGGGGAGGCGCTGCGCCCTCCCCCCTGCACCCCCCCACCCGCTTTTATTTTTAAACCGGTTCCCCTTGCTACCTACTAATCCTTTCTTTTTGCATAAGCATCATCGTTTACTTGGGTTAATTTCATCTTTGTTGATATCCATCGAGATCTCTGCCTACGTGCTTCTTTCTAGGTACGCATTGCGAGGGAGGCGCTGCGCCCTCCCCCCTGCACCCCCCCACCCGCTTTTATTTTTAAACCGGCTCCCCTTGCTACCTACTCTGCTTCCTTTTTCATATGCATCATCCGTTCCTTGAACGCATTTCATCTTTATTGATATCCATCGAGACTTGTGCCTATGTGCTACTACCTACTACTTCCTACTTCCTACTTCCTACTTCCTACTTCCTACTACTACTACTACTTCTACTACTACTACTACTAGTTCTACTACTACTTATACTTCTACTTCTACTACTACTACCACTACAACAACTACTACTACTACTACTCCTCCTACTCCTACTCCTACTGCTACTGCTACTGCTACTGCCACTGCTACTGCTACTGCTACTGCTCGTGCTCCTGCTGCTGCTGCTGCTACTGCTACTGCTACTGCTACTCCTACTCCTGCTACTGCTACTACTACTACTACTGCTGCTGCTGCTGCTACTGCTACTGCTACTGCTACTGCTGCTGCTACTGCTGCTGCTGCTGCTGCTCCTGCTGCTCCTGCTGCTACTACGACGACGACTACTACTACTACTAATACTACTACTACTACTACTCCTACTGCTACTGCTACTGCTACTGCTACTACTACTACTACTACGACGACGACGACTACGACTACGACTACGACTACGACTACGACGACTACTACGACTACTACGACTACTACGACTACTACGACTACTACGACTACTACGACTACTACGACTACTACGACTACTACGACTATTACGACTACTACGACTACTACGACTACTACGACTACTACGACTACTACGACTACTACGACTACGACTACGACGACGACGACGACTACTACTACTACTACTAATGTTTTTTTTTGATACGGATATTTTTTTTTTGATCTAGGTTTGCAGCACGAAACCCGTGAGGTCTCACACAGTGGCACCTGGATATTTTTTTTTGATGCATATATATTTTTTTGATGCGTGCTGGATATCGGATATTTTTTTTGATGCATTTATATGTTTTTTGATACGTGTCTCCAAGCCTAACATGCACATTTCAATGAGAACATGTTCATGCATTAATTTTTTTGGGCATGGTGCCACACTTCTCCATGGTGGTTTTCGCTTCCCGCAAGGCTTCACCAAACTGTGTCAGCACTGCTTCCTTTTGACCAAGACCTTCGGGCTGCAGGACGCCCAGCAACTCTTCTGGGAGGCGCCCAGGGTCGCATGTGCGGATCCAACAGATCCATCACGTGGCACGGCACAGGTCACGTTGCCGGGGACCGAGATGGACCTGAACTGCTTTGAAGCGGCCTTATCCTTGTGCCTTGGGATGATTCAGGAGGGGATCAAGAGTTCATGAGTTCATGTCTTGTTGAAACTTTCTCCAACTTCAAGGGCAAAAGTTGACCCTGAAAAAAAAAGTGGAAACAACCCATTTCCATATGCAAAAGGGTAGTAAAGGTCTCCATGTGTTGCTTTGATTTGTCCATGTGTCCACGCCAAGGAGAGAATTCATTTACCTCCCATTAAAATCCCATTTTCATATCAATCCTATCGAGCTGGATCTATCCATTGACGCTATATATTATTATATTGCACATTGATTCAACATATGCATATATACATACCGTATTTATTGTGTCACTTAACAAACGTTCGAGCATGCATGCACGCATGCCTTTCGTCATAGTTGCGTGCACAGTAAATCACAGTAAGACATATGCGATTTACCTGGTTTCAGCACATCGAGATGCAGAAAGCACGGCTTAAATTACAGGACACAATATGACACAATGCATGTTACAGATGAGTAGTTTCAAAAACCATTCATCAGTGGTTGATGTTTGGTTCGTTCTTTACCTCGCCTTTGGCGTTCAGGGATGATCCATGAATTGGGAATCCCCATGGGCCAGGTGTCTTCCGCATAGCATCTGCTTGAGAGTTTGCGAACTGGGAAATCAATGGAAATCAGCCGTTTGAAGAGGTAAGTACCAGGTAAGTCACCAAAGCGAAGCCATCTATACCATAGCTCATAGCCCTGCTAGAGTATCAGAGGATATCTCGTTGATTACCTCAGGCTTCTGGACTGCTGAGAGCAGGCTCGGAGCCAGGGCTCTCGCAAGAACTTCATGCCGAGCCAAGGAGCTACGAATTGAATTTCCCAACCACATGATAGTTATTGTTGCTTGTATATTCCATCAAATTCACTTTCAAACGCTTTCAAAGCCCATTAAATCCCAATGTTTAGTGGTCAAATGGTCAAAGCATTTATACTTATATCCCCAGTTCAGGCTTGTGAAACCATGTGAAATCACCATTTTCTCGAACAAGTTCGATTTTTTCTTCCTTTCATATCCCGTGAAAATATCCCCATTCTCCCCAGATGGATGGTTCTTCTTAAATGATGATAGCCACTACTTTATCAACATTCAACTCAAACGACAATCATCCCAATACATAGCTTACGGCCAATAACTCAATGTAACTCAATAATGTGTGCAAAGCAATACCATGAACATCCATAAACCACCCATGACTGGGAATTGTTGGAATCCCACCTTTAAAAATGGTGATTGCTGGGGGATGGTTTATGGCATTGTTTTACCCACATTAATCAATAAGTACATCCTGATTTCCAAAAAAAGTAAAGAATATGGCGAAATTACCCTCTGGTAATTTCACATAGCTATTGACAATGGCCCATTTAGTTCGTTTAATTTACCTATTAAAAACGGTGGTTTTCCATGGTTTTATGTATGTTTACCAGAGGGTATCGGTGAAAACATTATTGTTTTACCCACAGTCAATAAGTACATCCTTATCATTTTACCCCCAAAAAAATCAAAATATGGCGAAATGATCGGTAAAACACATGTTTTTACACAAAAATATGGCGAAGATTCTGGATCAAAAGCGTAGAAACCATGGCTTTTTTGGATCTGCCCGTCACGTCCATGTCCCCGTGGGCCCGTGACGCCCGTGGCTTCGTTCCACTCCAAGGATCGCCTGGCGCACCCGACGAAGCTCCGAACATTTGAGACGTGCTGTGATCCTGGCAGGCCGGGATGGGGAAGGAGTCCGTTTTTTTGAAAGACACAATTTCTACAAATTAATGAATCAATAAATGAATAAATAGATATAGAAATCACTAGATTCATGAATAGATAGATATAATATAGATATAGATTTAGATATAGATATATAGTTAAGTAATTTAAATAAATAGATAACATAACATAATATGATTTAATATAATATAATATGATATATGATGATTTAATAGGATATAATATAACATGATGTAATACATCATTTAATTGAACATGAAATAATATTATGCAATAAATATAAAATATAATCCAATAAAATACAACATACGATAATATAATAAGTATAGTGTAACACAGTATATAATATAAGATAATATAGTTTAAAATAATTTATTAATATAATATAATATTTGATAGTATAAAATAATATAGTATAATATAATATATAATAAATTTAATAAATATCATATAGTATAACATAATATCATTTAATGCAATGAATATAATTTAATATATAATATAATATATATATATAATGTACATATTTGATATTATAATATGATTTAGATACATATGAGGAAGCCCTTAGAATGGGGATGTTTGATACGAGGGGAATAGCATTATCACTTTATCCCGTAGGGATATAATGGTGGTAGAGTTTGTTTTTGGAATATATGTATATATGTATAGCAACCCCCAAGAAGTTGCAGAAAAGTAAAACCAAATTCAAAAACCAATGAGATTTTTGTCCTTTTCTAATCTTTTGGGTAGTTACTATAAGTATGATAGTTTAGATAAGATATGCGGGGGTACATGAACAAACATATAGATATACTGTAGATATGGGCAAGAGTTGTTCTCAATATGTCAAGGGTATGGATATTTGGACGGATATGATGAGAAACCTATGTTTAAGGGTGTCTTGGGTAGCCTTTGGTAATCAAACATGACAAGGGCAAAACATGTAACAACACAATGTGTAAAGGATTTATCCAATGGAAAAAATGTAAGGCATTTTCTGGTGCTTCTGCTGCCACGCTAGAGAACCATCCCCTGGACATCCACATGAGTCGAGGGCCCGTTTTTTGTTGAGGGGCACACTAAAAAATGTCCATGCTCACGTTTCGCAACCTCCATATTGTTCTTAGAATTCTTGTTACTAAAATCCCAAGCTTGTCTTGGTTATCTTGGTTCAGTCACCCGTACTGGTAAAGAATTCATGTGTTATACAGTTATACACCCATCCTTGAGGAATTCCTATTCTTCTTAGTTGTGCCTCTCCCATGTTCACACATTGCAATCCATGTTTTACTGGGGAAAACATCCCAGCTGCTGGCTGAATCTAACATTGATATTCTGATAGGGCCAATCATAATTGATATTCTAATCATATCTGAGTCTAATATTGATATTCTAGTCATATCTGATAAGGCCAACATTCTAACTAATTGCCTTTGATTTCGGCAGTTTAGTTCAAGCCTTGACCAATTTCATCGGTCAAATCCCAAGTTTGTGGGCGGGTTCATTGCTTAAAACATATTTTTATTGGTAATGTCCTCATCTTGGATGGTTCAAAAAATCAATTTCATCCGATTTTTTAGTAAGTCAAATCCCCAGATATCCGGATATCCAAAAATATCCATTGATCAATTCATCATTATCGTTTATCATCCCCAGTTTATTATCCAAAATTCTTGTCTGTTGAATCTCCCAGTTGAGCCCCGTTTTTTTTCGAACCCGGCCCAGGTTCTCAGCCAGGATGTGGCCGAGATCTATGTCAAGGCACCTGGTGCATTATTTGTATCCATCTCTATCGGATTCTAACGGATTCCATGTATATATATATATATATACCCTCTGGTTATTTAACATAGCCATGGAAAATTGCCCAGTTATAGATGGTTTACCTATGAGACGTGGTGATTTTTCCATGGCTATGTTAAATAGCCAGATGGTAAATATATCCACAACTGACTTCTCGAAATATGAATACATAGATACATAAATAGATTATATATATATATATATATGCTAGGAAAAAAAACGATAAACACACGCATATATGCATATATATATATATATATGCATACAGCATATAGACATGAAGATCCACTTTCACAGCGGCAAGTGTGCCCTCGCTGTGCTTCGACGTCGACCCAGTCTGCAAAATGTCTCGGCTCCATAGACTCGACCTGGTGCTTGAAATCCCTAACGAAAACCAGGGTTTTCCCCAGTAAAGGGGGTTTCCGGTTCGACAAATCCCTCAACCAACTCAAATTGTAGCCATACACTTCAATTTATATATTTTTTGAATGGTGATTTTGGATGTTTATTTTTTCCAAACCATTTATTATATTTATTGATATCACGCCAAGAAAAAAAAACACTCTTGGGGATGAGGCGCCACTAAGTCGGGCTTGGAGGTACTCCGATTTGAGGAAACCTCCGAGTGACGAAAAAACACCAGTTTCACCATTTGTCTGCCAAAATGTGACATGTTACATTCTGTCCGCCTGTGCCATGTGGTCTCTGCTGCTGATTTGGGCGACGACTTCTCGGGGAGGCTTCGCTGAGAACTGCGAGAAGGTGTGGCATATCCGCGCGGAAACACGCGGTGCGGGCGGAGAATTTGCACATGGGGTAAGACGTAGGATTTGCTGAAGATGACTTGCTTTTGTTTTGTCAATGGGAAATCCACTACTTCGGGAATCGATGAAGGGACTATTTTCTATTTTTGGAGTTTCCTTCAGCAAATTCAAGATAAATCATAGGTTTTGGGGAGAGCCAGGCAAAGCCGAATAAATCTGGATACCCAGTAGGCAATCAAACATGACAAGGGGATTTATCCATTGAAGATAGTTCTCATGGAGTTTCATTGCCATATTAGTGACCTCGCCATACATGATGGTCAGCATGGAAAATCAACCCCACATATGCTTATATTTGATGTGGGCATTACGGCGATGTTCCCAGAATTCAATGACATGGTGTGCTGCATGATATGACCAATGGGATAAAACAGTATATTTAGTTGATTGTCGGGGATATGATGTGATGGTACCCTCGCAAAGATGCAACATGGAACAGCATGATTCGGTTTACAATAGGAACATTATCTTCCAAACTTGTCTTTTGAGTTCCATGTTGGCTTTGGCTTTCAAGTGTGGCCTGCTTACAATCTATCCAGCTGTAGATGTACTCACAACAAACAAACACCCCATATAAAACCCTCAGTTTGCCAAATGGTTGCGACCAGAAACTGGTTGGTTGTTTGGAACATTTTTTATTTTCCCATATATTGGGAATAATAACTCCAACTGACTAATTAACACTTTTCAGAGGGGTTGAAACTGAAACCACCAACCAGTATTGGAAGGGGGGGGCCATGTATCCCCATCTTCCGACGAGGTCGTGGACAATGAGACTTGCATTTTGGGCGAGGGCACCTGCCACCTTGATTGGCCAGGAGCCGGCGATTTTCGCGACTCGCGAAGGGTAGGTTTTCGATGCATTTTTGGAATAATCTCGGGTAATCATCTAGGATAATATATGGGTACATAGGATTATATAGGTATATCACAATCAGTGCAACAACAAGGGTGTAGAACTTCATTGGAAAAAAACAGGCGTATTTTGTTGCCATTCAAACCTAAGGAGAATAATCCACTTTTATGGTGGGTCCATACAGTGGTTTTGTGTCCATCTACTGGGGGGGTCAGCCTTTCTTTTTAAAGGGAAGGGTATACAAAAAGAATACAAACAAGAATGTCAAATCCAAGTGTTTGCAGAATATCTATTATAAGTATTTCATTTCTATATCACTTGTCTTTTGTTCGAGAGACCGGAGTAGTAAATCAACATATACCACTGTTCTATCTTTTTGGGGTGGTTACTATATCAGATAAATCCACACCAAAACGTGGGAATGAGAACGCGCCCCAAAATGGGCAGGCTACCGCGCTCACGCACGCACGTATACTGCAATATATCAATATGATTGCATGCACATGTATAAAACATACTGTATGAGGGTGAGCAAAGATTTGACTACTGGTTAGTTCAACATTCGTAAGATATGATGCTCAACGTTGAGTTTTGTCCGCAGCCCTGCCATGAATGCCAAAAACCCTGGTTCAACGAGCTGGATCCGGAACATAGGAGACAAAGGGCTAACACCACTGGTTTCATGTGTCCTATCCCCTGGGATGACGACAGTGACTCCTTTTTCTGAAGCTTGCTTGGGGATCTGGATTTCGGATAGTTTTGCACATGAGGGAGTAGCATGCCTAGCTAATCCAAGTTTTGTTATCTCACACGTTCCTTTGCTAACATTCACCCATTTCTGTTGGCTGATCCTGGCATTTTTTGCAATGTATCTAACATTCCCAGTGTCATGGGTAAACCTCCATTGGTTGGAGGGTGGGTTCCCAGTGGGCAGGTCAGGTTCCGAGAGTTTTACTTCTACACCCACAAACATGTGGGTAAAAACCATCAAAGCAACTTGTGTCCATGGTTTTTCCATCATGAAACTCTGAATTTATCAGGTATTTTCATCGTTTTTCCATCATAAAAACAATGAGGAACCACAGGGTGTTCGGTTGTTTCCATCGTTTTCCTCGTGTTTCAGCGGCAGGAGAGTTGGTGATCCCAGAGAAACGTCAGATGATGTGCCCCAGAACTATCGCTGCGTGTTGTGTTGTGATAGTAGGCATGGGAACACATACGCTGACATAAACATGATATTATATATAATAAAATGTATAAATAGATATATAAATATAACATTGGCATTCTATATATATATATATATATATTAATTGTAACATAATCTAATATAATATAATACATTATCATATCATTTAATGACATGTTCTTTCGTGTGCCCTAATATGATATAGTCTGGCAACAACTCTAATAATTTTGTTACAAGATGCTATGATTCAGTATGATCAACATATAATCTAAGTTTATTTAATATACGATAAGATGCTATGAGACGACATAACATCATATAGTCTAATACAGCATAATATTATTTCAGTAGTAAATTTCTAAGCTCGATAGTAAAAGATAATGTGTTTTTGTAATTTTGTTAACTTCAACAGAGGACCGTATCAGATAATCTCAAATATTACATGTTCAAAGGGGATGATTCCATATAATATAATTCAACATACTGTAACATTGACATAGTATGTATATATGTATGTTTCTAATACAATACTCTTTGATATAACGCAGTATTTTAACACCTACACATATATCATATGACATGATATGGTACAATATCATATCATATCATATCATATCATATCATTATTGTAATTTATTCACATGATAAAAATAAGAAGAACAGACAATAACAACATAAAGTATATTCTTGTATGACATGGTCTTCGACTATTTTTTTATGATTATATAGAAAACAAAAATAGTTTAGTTTAATACGATATCATATGCTACAATGATATGCTATAACATATTCTGGTCGCTTCGCGACGACAACTGCCCGCACCGGAGTGTTAGCTCCGAAGTTCCAATAAAACCATATATGTTCCATGTTGGGCCTTTGTAGGGCTCATGTTGGAGTTATGTTGGGCACATGTTGGCTCTATGTTGGGCCATCTTGGGCCTATGTTGTGCCCATGTTGGACCTATATTGGCCCTATGGTGGGCCATGTTGGGCCATGTTGGGATTATGTTGGGCCTATGTTGGGCCAAGTTGGGCCCATATTGGGCCTATGTTGGGCAAGTGTTGGGCCTATGTTGGGCCATGTTGAGCCCAAGTTTGGAAACTTTGCCGATTTTAGGTCCCTAAAAATATTGGAAAACACAGGATTCTAGAGCAATAAAGCCCCCCCAAGCTAGAGCTTAATAGCTATATTGCAATTGCTTCCGGTTAATGCTGAATGCTGAGAGTTTTGCATGCGTTTCATCGTTTCCTGTCAGGTTGACCGATCATCTTCCTCCTGTTGCCGCCATTTAGGATCCTGAGCAAGTATCACTGATAGAAAAAAGGGCATCACGAATTGCGGTGTGATCCCTCTCATTCACTTTGGACCCCCTTTTCATCGCACGGGGTTTCCATCAGTTGGCAGAGGAGCCTGGCCATGCCGATTATCTCCGTTCTGCCTTTCTCTGGCGCTGCAGCATCACACGAGTCCAACCTCAACCTGTTTGGTGGCTGGCCTCAAGATGGGGATGATTCTGCAGAAGAGGAGTTGGTGCCGTCATGTGTCTGATAGTCCTTCCTCATGGGGATGTTGGGATTGTGATCATGGCACGTTTGTTTGGCCGACAGATGGTTGGAAGTGTTCTAAGTGTAATAGCAGAGAGTACTACCAGGTAGATTGTGTGGTTCGCAGGGAAACAGAAGAAGGCGTTTGGATGTTCACTCTCCATGTTCAATCTCATGATCATTCACATCGTCTTCATGAACCTCATCCCGCGACCCCGTCTCCTCCATCAGATCATAGGGCCTATGGGGAAGGTAGTGAGCAGGCTGAATCAGAGGTAAGAACCATTGATCCAATTGTAGAACCTCAAGATGAATCGACACCTAGAAGACGAAACAGAGGAAGAAGAGCTCGAAGAACCACTGCGCATGAAGATGCTATCCGCACACCTGCACAGTCACAGCTTTCACATGTTTTGCAGACCTTGCAGAATGCCTTGGCGAATAACCACCAAAATTCTCATCCGAGCAGAGAAGCGTCCAGCAACTCTTGAAGAACCTGGAATAGTCGCATGCATGGCATTGAGAGAGGCATCACTCTTTCCTTACACATCCTTGTCCGGTGAGGCGGAAGAAGAACAAGAGCATGCTGATTTACTGGAGATAGAACCAACTCAGCATCTGGAATTGGTTACATTGAAGGGCAGTTGAGGTTGGGTTTACAAACCAAAAACGATCTATCAGAAGAGAAAACTCATGGCCGACTACGAAGCCATTTGTGAGACAGAGCAACGAATCTGTCAGGGCCTTCGCAAATCGGTACCGACGTGCCGAGAAAGCTTTGGGCTCAGTGGGCATCTCCGTAGGAGGCATGTATGTTGAAGAATCAAGAGGAAACAGGGTTTTGGAAAGAGCCAGGTTGAGTCCAGAAAATCAGAGGCTTGTTCTGATTGGCGCAGCATATGATCTTCGCTTTGATGTCATCGTGGAAAGTCTATGCGTGTCCTTTCCTGAACAAAAACCTGCTCCTCAAGTATTTGGACGTGATGGTACCCCTCTTCGTCTTCAAGGTAAGTCAGTTTCAGGTCAGTCCTCTTCCTCTTCTTCCTCTTCTAGTTTCTCCAAGCGAATGGAAAAAGGGAAGAGCAAGGGCAAGGGAAAAAGCAAGATGACATTCGTCACAGATCACCAGCAAGAGCTTGACACTATCGATGAGAACCAACATGAGCTGAATATCATGAATGCATGGGTGATGATGAGCTGAGCAGCAACAAGAATATGAACAACACGACATTCATGATGATGCAGGTTGGCAGGATGAACAGCAAGAGTGCCCTGAGGAGAATGAAGAAGATGTTGAAAACCTTGCTCAAGTGCTCACGGCAGCCAGAAAATTGCCGGCTCTCACTCAAGGTAGAAATTCGCTGGATCAAGGAATATTGAAGAGAGGAAGCGTACAAGTAGGTGTTCTGCCTGTGGCGCTTTCAGCCACTGGGCCGGTGACAGTGAGTGTCCCAAATCAGGTTTGAAAGGTGCTCACGGCAAGCCAAAGGGAAAGGGGAATGAAAAGGAAGGGAATAAGGGTAAGGATCCAGGATGGAAAGGTTTCATGTGCAGATGACAAGAACGCGAAGCGAGTTTACTTCACCATGCAGAGTGAACATGGTGAACAGCAACAAGCAGTACAGCTGACACACGAGACAAGCCATCCTTCTTGACCTTCGTTATCCACTATCACGTCCCCTCCTTCAAGATGTCCAGCAGTCCTCTTTACACAGTGGTCCAGTTTAGCGGGAATGATGGTTCTAGACACGGCTTGTCAAAGAATGTGTTGCGGTCGCCAGTGGTTTGAAGCACGCTCCGACTTGTTGGCAAAGCACAGATTGCAGTGCACATGATTTCCATCTCCGAGGCCTTTCAGTTTGGCCGTGGGGAGCCAATGCCTGCGAAGGACAGGGCATACATGCCGTCGAAGATTGGCAGTGTTCATTTGTTGTTGGGGGCTAGTGACTAGTGCGGTTGATACATCCATTCCATTGTTGGCATCAAGCACTGTTTTGGAAACATTGGGTGGAGTGATTGACTTAGCACGGCAAAAAGTTTGGTTTGGTTTGGAGCACTTGGCATAGAAGCAGACATCCAAAGGGTGCATGTGCATTTAGCAGTTTCAATTGCAGATTTTGAGAGCAATGTCAGTTCGCTACCAATGTGGAGCGAACTCTCAACTTCGGAGCTTTGGAACACACCACATTACTCTGTGAGAGATATTGCGCCAGACACCGCCCAAATGGCTGATGGAATGGTACCACGTGGTCACGGCGCTTTCAACCTGGAACTGCAAACTTTCAAATGGATGTCCCGCATGATTCGGTTGGGCATGAGAGATCGTTCCTGATTGACGCTTTGGGAGTCCAACATGCAACGCATCAAGGAGCAAGACACGATCATGACAAAGAAGGCACCAATGCAGACCATGAGAGATTGCAGCCACCCAGAGTGGAAAAGACACGGCAACATACACGGGTCGTTCGCGACATGCCTCCTGTGTCACATGAAAGCCAAATGGAGGAGACGCGATACCAACAACTCCTCCAGGGATTCCTACCATCAAAGACAAGTTGCAGTGAAGCCAGGAAGGTTGATGAGAACACGTATGAATTGTTCAACTACAAGTCTTTATTTCAGTTTCCTTCCCAAGGTCTTCGTTGCTGGGCTAGGCTTGATTATGGCATGACTACTCCCAGGGCCACAGTGTCTTCAGGACCACCTACATCCTCAATCAAGTGGCGTAGGACCACAGATGTTCATAGTGGAGAGCTCATTTTTGAAGGTCCTTTGATTGATGACGAGGCCAACCAGGAGTGTTTTCATTTTGAAGTACCTAGGGATTGTATCACCGAGCTGTGGCACTGACCGTACATGATACCTCCAGCCTTTCAATCGTATGATGATGCTGTTGAAGAAATTGATGAAGGATGGGATGGCAGCCAAGAAAATCCTCTTCCAGCATTTTGCAACTTCTTTTACCAGATGTACGTCACCTATCTGGCTAAGTCAGTAGATGTTCAAGAAAGTGCTTTGTCAAGTTCGGATGAAGAATGGGAAGACATGTCCCAGGCAAGGCATTTGACTAGGAAAGAGAAAAAGGCTGTTGAGAAGGAGGTGGGAGGGACATTTTGTCTCAGCCTTGGTCGTACATTTCAGAATTCATCAAATTGACGCAAAAAGAGGCGGCAAGCTTCGTTGAGTGGCGGTCACTTCGGCCGGTTCCACCAAAAGAAGCTGAGGAAATATTGGGCAATCCAGAGACAAGAAAAAGAGTGATTTCATCAAGAGAGGTGTGCAGAGACAAAAATAAAGGTATTCCACCGTTACGCGCGAAGACAAGGATTGTGGCAAGAGGGAGCCAGGATCCTGACCTAGTGAGTTTGGCAAGACAGGCAGCTACACCTAACAGAATATCAGAGATGCTAAGTATTGAACATATTTTTTCGAAGTAGTGTTCTTTGGCACCTCTGGGCGGGAGATGCAACGGCTGCCTTCTTGCAGGGTCTCCAGGAGTTCACCGAGCGTGCCCGGAAGCTCTTCATGAAGGCACCTCGGGATCCGCTGCTCAAACTTGCTAAGGTTTTGCAGAGTGGACTGTACGAGGTAACAGGCAACGTGTACGGTGACACGTGGGCCAAAGAAGTCACAAATAGACTTCAGAAGTTTGGCTCACATCAAGACTGGCCTGGGTTTAGATCACTGAGTGGCTGTCTCCAGTGGTTAGCAGGGCAATGTCGATTGGATATAGCTAGCACAGTGTCACTTAGCAATGCTGGAAATGACGTAACATATGGAAACCTACAAGGCCTATATGAAGCGCAGCAGTTTGTCAAAGACAGTGCTGATTCAGGAATTGTTTTGCGTCCAATCCCAATCGATGTTTCCACGACAGTAGTTGCGTATAGTGATGCGTCTTGGGCTAACGCCCCGGGATCTGCCAGTCAGCATGGTCAACTTCTGTTACTTGCTGCTAATGTGACTGAAACCACTTGTTTTCGGTCTGTGGTGGACTGGAAAAGTGGCAGGTCTAAAGGGTGTGCAGAAGTACACTTGCAGCAGAATCCGTGGCAGCTGGCACTGCAACCGACAGGATTGCGTACATCGTGTACGCTTTGTCAGAGCTGATTTTCGGAATCCCAGCGCATAGAATAGGACCGCGTTTGAAGTCCCTTCTGGTCACGGATTGTAAGAATCTCTATGATTGCGTTTCATCTTCAAATCCATCGATTGAGGGCAAGAGGTCTTTGGTTAGTGTGGGGTCAACACAGGAGTTCATCAATGCTAAGACGGACGGTTCACTGGGTTCCAACTCAATATCAATTGGCCGATTGCCTCACCAAAATCAACAAGGGCCTCAGGTCCAAAATGCTGGAGTGGCTGTCCAAGACAGTCATCAAATTGAGAGATGATCAGTCGAAGAAAAATACCCCAGTGAGATTTTTGCATGCGTTTCATCTTCCTCCTGTTGCCGCCATTTAGGATTCTGAGCTAGTATCACTGATAGAAAAAAGGGCATCACGAATTGCGGTGTGATCCCTCTCATTCACTTTGGACCCCTTTTTCATGGCACGGGGTTTCCATCAGAAATGCGTGCGCGCACACAAAAACGCCTCGGCACCTTCGGTGCGGGCAGATATATATATATATATAGATAGATATATATATATATATATGATTATGTACATGCACATATGCATGCAAATGTTGACAAAGTGACATATACAAGTATATATCTTTTGTGCCATAGATATATCACATATGAACCATTCTACACAGACTCGATTCCTTATAGCCATGCACTTCAAGTCCAACAAACCACTGCAACCAGGAGCAAGGGGTAGCACCAACAGTTAAAAACAGTTCTTGGACGCTTGAAGGCAACCCGCGGCAACCCTCAGCTTTCAGCTATGCAGTGCCTGGAAGGAAAAACAAACATCAATGATTTTGTCCCACGATTAGGGTTATACCCCTTTGATCAAGTGGTTGGCATTCATAATTTGGATGGAAGAAATCCTGCACCAGTTGGTAGATGGTTTATCCCATTCCAATCTCATTATTTACAGTGTTTTATAGCTTCCATCCGCAGTATTTCATCATATTTCCATTGTTGAAGGGCCTCAAATTGATGGCCCCTCCGGCCCCTCACCAACTTTTGGACAGACCCAACCTTGATTAAACCCATATTTTCACGTGATATCATGTTATATATCCACTTGTATATATAAATGTTTTGGACACACCCCAAATTCCCTAGCCATTGATGAATCCCATTAGAGCCCATTAAATAGACCTATCATATATCATAATATATCATAGATATATATATATATATGATATATGTATATGTGTACATACATATACACACATCCTTGTAGACACCATTTCATTGTTAATGAAATCAACCCAATGGCCGTAGCGATCCACTGGAACTAGTGCACCACATAATCCACAAGTCATCACCTTTTTTATGGGTGATTCAAACCCCAGTCATGGTAGTTGTTTATGTTATTGGTTTTCTGGCATTTTATATGCACATATATATATATATATTATGTATATATATATATTTATACACACCTATGATATCCCCTATTTAGTTTGACGATTTTCCCTGCGAACTAAACCTCAACGTTTGTGGATTTCCCACGTTTGATCTGCTGTCGAAAGGTGCCCCTCCGTAGCTCTGACAGCGGATCGCTTTGTCATGTGCCTGACCGCAGAGGTTTTTTCTCGAAAGCAAAAAATGTTATCGGTATGACCCGGTATGAGTTGTGAAGATATGATCAGATATACACGTATATATATATATGTAGGAATACTTATCATCAATATTTATAATTCTATTTATGCGTATATTTTTGCAAAACATATAGACTTTCTTTGCAGGAGTACATTGCGACTGTAAATGCGTGCTCTGGTATGTTTCATGGGATATGTAGCCAACAATGGGATATTTGGGTGTATATATATATATGTATAGTAAAATGATTTACATATATATAAAAATTCGAAAATGGGCCATGCTCCCAGTTTATGTTATTAAAATAACTCACATATGATTAAGTCACCAGGGAGTCGAAGGCTGAGCGCCCAGCAGTGCTTGGGCACCACCATTTGAATGTGTGTGTTTTTCTGCTGGCGCTACATCTGAACTAATCCTTTTGTAATCCAGCTGAGCAACCTTGGTTCAATATGATTTCTGAAACCTTGAAAGTCTCTTGGTTCGTTAGTCTTATCATTGGCGCTTCGAGGCCGTTGATCCCTAAATTCCTCATGTTTCAAGGTTTGAGAAGCTTCAGTGATGTCTTCGGGAGTATTCAAAATCACAGCGCGTAATAACACCTAATAGCAAGACTTAATAAATCTTAATAATACTTAACAGCTAATAGCACGCACTCCACACGTCACCTCTAAGAAACCACTGTTTGGGGGTCCAAGGGAAGCTCAAACACTGCCCTGGATGCTGCAGGAAATCGGATTCGACTATCAGCACCAAATCCACCATCAAGATCCATGCCAGGAGGGCCAACACCTGGGGAAAAACACCCCAGGTTATGGGGAAGATGATGAATCGATTTCTTTTTTTGGGTGCCCTCCAAAAATATCCAAGTCGTTGCAGGTCAACATGGCTTATCATGGCTTCGGGCCGCAATTTCGAGTTGGTTCAGATAATGTCCAGCATATACGTGTCATATTTTGTCGGTTTTCATGGTCCGTTCTAGAAATGGGACACGAATGGGGCTGCGCCATTGTGGGAATCGTTTAGGGTAGGGCATGGCGATGATGATGTCGTAGAAAGCAGGAGGAGCAGCAGCTGCTGCCGATGATGAATTGTTATGATAGCATTACCCTTTTAATAACTATAGAAATGATCAATGTCAATGTGTTATAGTAACATAGTTGCTTTAGAGTGATGATGATGATGACGACCTCGACGACGACACTATTTTCTGAAAACGATGATGACAGCACATGAGACATTGAAAACGAGGCCCACCAGTGACGTCATCTTCGCTGCAGGACTATGACCTTCAACAAGTGCGTTCTGACTTCTGGTTCCACCTTTCTTCGGGACACTGTGCCGCGTTGAGGGTCAGCGTTTTGCTTTTGGACGAGGTTGGTTAGGAAAATCTAGATCCTATTACAATCTCAATACATGTGATCGTATGTATGTATGGTAATGTAATGCAATGCAATGTAAAGTAACGCAACGCAATGCAATGTAATGTTGTGTGTTATGTTATGTTGTGTTGTGTTGTGTTATGCTATGCTATGTTATGTTTTGTTATGTTATGTTATTGTATGTAACGCAACGTAACGTGACGTGACGTGACGTGACGTAACGCAACGTATGGTATTGTATGGTATTGTATGGTATTGTATGGTATGGTATTGTATGGTATTGTATGGTATTGTGTGGTATTCTATGTATGTAATTATCTGCATACTAGTATGCACATACAAACGTGGAATTTGAACGGAATTACATCAAATCTACGATTGTACTGTAGAATATGGGACATTCATGGAATATCGGGTAGGCTTTTTCCTTGGTTTTTAAGACAGTGGCTGGTAAAATGGTCGATTTGGTTTGGGTAAAGCTTTGTCAATGGGTGGAGAAAGTTTTGACATCATAGCAAAATGACCAAAGTATTAAATTGCAACGATGTCACGACCACTTCACTAGAAATAATGGATGGTAAGGGCAACTATTCCATGTTTGATTTGATGATGTCCTCTTTGCAGTTTTTTTCTTGTGGAAGTTTGGTGAGTATTGTGCGGCTAGAATTGGTACTTGTTTAGTATTACCAGGTGCGTCTCCGCCCCCTGGGTGGTATCAAAGTTTCGTATCGTTTCGCCATGCAATTTTGTGTGGCCTTCCACTATCCCTGAAAAATTCTCGACGTCTGTGATTCCCAGAAAAGGCCGTCTTACGAAGAGGATTCGGTTTAGCCCATGGAATGCCTTTGAACATTTTTTGCGCAACCAGATTTACTTGGTACCCCATTTGTTCGCGGACAACTTTTCCTGGCATCATACTGCAATGCTGCATTCCCCGAAACCGCGTGCGTAGGAAAAGGATCATTCAGCTTGTGAAGGAATTCAGGTCATGAACACTGAGCTCATCGTTCAACATAAGCTGGTGACTGGGCTGAGGTCACTGAAACGACAGGTGAAGGGTAGTTTTTAGCGAAGCAAATGTTTTTTTCTTTACCACAA